TTAGTTAGAAGGTGTCCTTTGGAACCTCAACTAACGTTTCACGAATAAGGTTTCAGACAGCGAAGAGCACATGGCGAACGAGAGATCAAATTACTGCATTTATACTGACTGTTGATAATTTTTCCATTATCTTCTTTTCTCAGAAAAGCAAAAAATATTAGAAAATATGATAACAAGAAAAAAAGAGAATTTTTATCGCTACATTTTGCTCTTGCGTTTAAATAACTAATCGAATTATCGGGCTAATCGAGTGCATTTACGTCAAGTAAATTTACGATCAAAGTATGATATTACAATATATTCCATTACACAAAATCAGCCGTCGTAATGATAAATTACTGCAAATTGGGTCTTTAAAGTTTTGGTTGGTGTGTACTTTCCAAAATATATATTTAATGTCTATTCATCTGTAGGAAGAGGATACAAACGCGGCATTCAAAATGAATCGGATTGTATGCTATGTACGCTTTGCTTTTGAAAATGGACTTCAACATCCGATTCAGCAGATGCACCTGCTCGTTTGAAGATAAAATCTCTTTCTCTCTCTCTCTCTATGCGAATGTTATATTGTAAATTCCTGCAGGGAAGTATATTGCAATCATTGAAATAAAGCGGAGTATATATAATTTTGAATCGCATAGAAGTTCGCATAAAAGAAATTTATGACATTGAGTTGGATTGCCGATTTAAAATGGAAAAGTTATCCTTGATAACAATGAAGCATCCGTAAAATTAAAAAAGTCTAGAACAATACCTCCAAGATACTTTATCCATTGTATTTTACTTGCCTCAGCAGTAGCAACTTCATTTATATCTTAGGAAATCATTGTTATCAGAGGACGCCGTAGCAGTACAGAAAGAAATCTCATCAATCATTAAGCCAAGAAAGGATTCAGTCGGGCGTAGTTCATTGTGGCATTCTTTTTTAACTTCCTGAATAGAATCGAAGTTCGATCTTCGATTTGAGCGCGCTACTATCCACGTCAAATTGTGATTTTATGGATATAGCTATTTTCGCAGAGGTCGTCGCTGTAATAAATACGAGATATAATGTAGATTTATAAACGCATTTGTAATAAAAATAACAATAATACATTCGTCATGTGCACATTTGCATGTAAATGTGAATCAATTAATACATTATCCAACAATGAAGTTGGGAAAGCCGCATGCTATATATATCATTCTAAAAGTATATCATAGATAATCAATTTACTTATATTATAGCAGTGGTCATTTATTGAAGAAATTTACGGGTTTGCACGTGTATACATTATTTGAAATATTGATTATTCGCATATTATTTCATACAAGCTCGCGCTTTCAATGGTATTAATTTTCTCTTTTACTGGACGGTGTTTACATGTTTTAAATACAATTCTAATTTATTAATAGTTTGTCTTATACAGAAGTATTTGTACAACATAGTATAACTGTGATTGTCCAATGCGATCTAATATTCTTTGTACTTGAAAATAGACAATCAAAGATATGACAATATAAATCGCGATATTGGAAATTCTATTTATTAATTGAAAAAATCGTATCGCGAGTCGCAAATATAGACAGAGTTTATTACATATTCTCGGACTTAATTCTTTTAGAACAGATACTAGAACGGTATCAAGTTGCTGTAAGTTATTACTGTCTTCTCGTGGCATTATCAAATCATCATCCAATTTCCAACTTTGCTGCGATTCCTTCTTAAAAGTTGTAGAATGTTCTACCGACACGTGCGGTTGCAGTCTGCTGTCTTAGTTTAGGATCAGGTGAAAATGTTCCGAGCGGGAAGAAGGACGGTGGTTTAGGCGGTTACCACAACGTTGCACGGCCATAAGGTATTCTCGAATATAACGTAAAGTTACGTTAGCCCGGATAAAAAGGGATTAGCGAGGGTTGTCTTCGAGCCAAAAGAGGCCAATGCCGTTGCGTCGTGGAGGAGCGTGATCCCCCATTCGCTTTCTCCAACTCCTCCCTTCGGCCACATCGGTCTTGTCCTTCGATCTCCCCAAGTTTCGTAGAAAATACCAGTAGTTGCCGAAACTCGCACGAGCGAAACAGCGACGAGACACGAGGGGGAAAGTCGAGCAGAGGCAAGAGAAAAGACCGAAGAGTCGAATGGCAACGCTGTAAGAGAGAAACTGTCTTTCTCTTTCTCTATTTCTCTTCCCCTTCTGTACGGCTCTCCTACTCTTACACTTCGGATCCTCGATCTCAGCTTCCATTGAAAATTCATTTCATCTGTCGGATCCCATGGCCAATCTTCCTTTCCATTTAATCCTAAGATGCCGACTGCGAGATCCTCTTTGCCGATAATCAAAGTGAAGATCAGGAAGATCGCTCGCAGGCGGAAGTTGACTTGTCCGGGAAAGGGGAAGCAGAAGTGGCAGCTGACTGCATTACTTTGGTTAAGTGTGCCAGTGTACGTCGATGGGTGATTTCTTCTTCGTTGATCCCCGATCTGACAATGTACGTGCTTCTCAAAACAATAAACTCTCATCTTATATAAACTGCATAGAATCGTCGCGATAAAGCACGAAGAGAGCTTACAACAGAGCGTTCAACGATGTGTACTGATTTTAACGTAGAATTTTGTGGTGTAAGATAAGAAAGGAAATCACAACGTTAAAAGTAGAAACCGTTTTCAATATTATAATATTAATTCGAAAAACGTAGATAATAAAATATATTTTTTATTAATAAAGTTAAAAGTTTGATTGAATTTAAATGTAAAAATTTATTTAATTTATTTTTCCACTGATATATTCACAATACATGCAATACAAATGTTACAGATGATTATCGCCATAAAAATGATTGCTTATATCTCGTATTCATAAGAGAAACCGATAAATTTGTTTATAATAATCTCGCAGTCGTTCGCACTGATTTCTATTGACACGATTACGACGGATCCCATAAACGAGTAAACGAAAACGGAGAAAGAGCGCAGAAAAGAAGAAGAGCTTACTTGTAGCAGTAAGAAACTAGAACGCGAGGATCTCATAACAGGACTTAGCATTAGTCATCGTATAATGTCGTTGTTGTTGGCAGTTTTGCACTGCGATGAAACAACAACGTTCCTTAACCTGCAGCGAGCTCTTTTCTTCTGTACTTTTCTTTGAGGAATATTTTCCTCTTCTCTTCTCCTTTCACACAATTTTATCCTTCATTTTTCTCGCTTCTCATCTGCGCATTTATTTTCGCATTCTTTCCTTCTTACTCTCTTCACGTTTTTGATCCAGGAAAAGTTTATAATCAGCGATTTAGTGCATTCGTATCTATTTAATTACGAGAATTACTGATGAAAAAATAAAAAAGCGATTCGTTAAATCGGGACAAAGTTCTCATTGAAGGAATAGGGCGAACGGAGATTTGTATGGCGTCTCTGCGAAGCACACTGCTAGCTCACATAGAGAGATAAAGGAACTATAACGAGGAGCGGCGGGGAAGGGAAATCGGCCACCCGGTGCCAATCGATCGGAAAATTGGGTTACATAAACATCTTTTGCTTTCGTACCCATCTTTGCTTCCATCTTCCTTCTTCACCGCTTGCCTCGCGCGCCCTTAACCCTCCGCCCCCTCCCCAACCCCTCCACAATCTCTTCAACGCGCGAGAGACGATACGTACTTCTTGTCTACTACGTGCGCCTTCGCGTCTTATCATCCGCATCGCGTCGCGCAGTATCTGCAATCTTCATTCTTATTTTCAATTTCTTCGAAATCGAGGGTGAAATAACGCCCTGCTGCTTTAAACTTACATCGGGTCTTAGCGGGGCCGCCGTCTCTTTCCACCGTCGGACATCACGTTATCGGAATTCGATAATTTAAAGCTTTCCGCCGCAGACCGGCTAATAGAAAAGTAATGCGTAAGAAGGTTTCCCCGCGGAAGATGCTACTCAACAGAAAGTCAAAGATGCTGTCTCAACGCGGAATGCATAAAACATAATTGACTGCGTCGCTCTCATCGCGATGCGGCAGACTTCGCCGACGTCGTGACTTAATAATCCGCGAAACTCTCCTCATCCGCCGGCGCGCTTCTCATCTCCTTTTCGAACTTGTATATGTCTTTAATCTTACGGCTGATGTGATTTTTATGAAATCCGACCGCGAGTTCTCCCGCTTGTTTTACGCTGTTTTGCGACCAAGCGGCGGCATTCATATTCGTTGGGAGTACTTGTCGAACGAGCGCACGAAAATCGCGACGAAGAAGAAGCTTTCTGCGAAAGCTCCGCGAGAATGTACGCGAAGTTGTGTATAGAGTTCTTCAAGTACCGCGGCGAGTTCATTTGCATCTTGCTATCTTTCGCAGTTAACCTTCTTCTACCGAGCTCGCAATGTGGAGCTTGCACTTGAAGTTCTGCTCATTGGCAAATTCTTCGAATTGTAAAATGCACCGTTTTTGTTTAAAACACACGATACGAATAATTTCCAATGAAAATTTTCCGGTGAACTTTCATCGTTCATAACACATTATTTATATATGATTTTTTTTAAACTGAATTTTGCGTGCGTGTATTTTTTTTCCGCATTTAACAAACATCTGAAATTAACGAATGCATACTACGAACAAACAGAGATTGCGAGATGGAAAATGGATTTTTGCTATTTTTTAATCGGATTTATAGAGAATATATTACAGAGAAATAGATATATAGAATACCATATAATATTTGCTTATTTTTAACATTTGGACACATTATTGACAAACGCATCGAAAAAATGGCATTGCGAGAAGATAAAGGCAGTAAAGATAAATACTTACATTATGATGATGTGAAAGCGACGATCCTGGCGACAAGATGTAAAGGATAATTGGCAACGTCATTTGTGAGCCCTGGCAGCGTTCGAGCATCGTGGCTTAATAATCATTTGCATACCTCTATCTAGTTCAATGTAACATCGGCTATCCAGCGGCGTTGGACTCTTCAACTTTTCTCTTTGTAAAGCAAACTTAAGCTCATCAGCTTTGCTCAGCAGAGCTCAGCTTCCGCTTTTTTGTCCATAGCTACGGGCGACCTCGAGAGGATGGGGTTAAGTTGCCCTTAAAAAAGAAAAAAAAAAAAACCTGACTACATACGTGTATACAAGCGTACACGGAAAAAGGATTTGCTTGGCAGTGGTAGAACAAGACGCTCAGGAAGAAGTAACTGTGCTAATGAGCTCCGTCAATTTAGCGAAGACTGCCTTATGGGCCGTAAGCTTTGCTTAATATGAAGTAATATTGTCTACTATACTACGGTTATAAACCCGCCCCGTGATTTTCCCATCCTTAAAGGGGAATCGTCCTTACTTTACATTAATAGTACTAAACCGTGCATCTCGCATCGCTACTTACAAAAATACTCGTTACAAAGTCTTAACACCGCAATAAAATGCTTCGCGCGAGAAGCTTTGGCATTCTTCTTTTTTTTCTTTTTTTTTTCAAGACAGAGCGCTTTTATAAATGCACGTGAAGAAATTTTATGATTATTCTTGGCATAAAATTTTTTTATAGACGTTCTTGAGACATGAAAAACTTTATTATTATCCGAAAGATATTACATTCTTCAGCAAGTATTCGAAATGATAAATGCAAATGACATATCTTGGAATGTATGCATGAATTTATTCCGATTTTAAGACTATTCTACTTAATAAAAGTTATTAAAATGTAATAAATAAAACATTAAAATTTAAGTTTACTCAAAGTGGTTGTAATAAAAAGATTATTAAAAAATCAGTAAAAATATCGTTATCACGTATTTGGAGAAGAAATAGATATTCTAAAGTTATTAAAAGGTGAAAATAACTTATAACATTGAAAAATATTATATTTGTATTATTGTTGATATTATATTTATCTCAACATATAATAATTATTCTCTTTCATTTATGATTGCAAAATTAAAATTTTATCTTTATAGTTTAAACCCAAGTATATTAATCGCACAACATTTATAATTATACATATATACGTAATTATATCGAAAAAGTTCCGAAGATATGCAAAATTCGAGAAGCAGAATATATCGCGAGAGTTGCATTGCGTGCACAATAGTATGCATAAAACATTTGCAATTTCAGAAGTGAATACATATGTCTGTTCTTTCTTACGTGCAAAAGACTGCTTTCTTATTGAACTCACGTAACTGTTCCTGCGCAAAAAGTCTTTGACATCACTAACGACCGCTCGCTTTATTAGTATTCCAAACTTGTCACAAGAGACAAAACTCTGATCATTGTGGAGCAATACTCGTTGAAGTTGATTCTGGAACGTAATTTTATACATCAAAGTTTAAACGCTACAAACTAAACTTTTGAGATACTGCAAATCTTAAACTTTGCTTCAAATTTATTTCAAGGAAAAACATTGGAAAATTTCTTTAATAAAACTCTTATTGTGATTAGAAGCGGAAAGCAAAGATTTTGAAGCATATGGCTATTGTACAAAAATTACGCTAATTAAGACATTCTTGCTGTATTTAGTGCAAAAAACGAGCATAATGACAATTATGGAGATAAAAATTTCTCGTATCTCCATTAGTTTCGCTAATGAGTTTAAAACTCATGGCCTACCACGAATGACGTTAGGTTAACGCTCATCTTTATGCGTCTTCACGGTTCAGCTCTCACAGAGTTTCTTTTGAACGGTTTTTTTTTGCTATCCTTGCCGGAGCCTTGACGCCTAGCCCATCCAACCAGCCGCTCCATCAGCTCTGCTCTGCAGAGAGTATTTATATTTCACTCCGAAGAGTAGCCGAGCTTCTTCGCCGTGCGGGCGTCACTCATTATACAAGTAATTTCACTTGTGCAAGCAGCACTTGCGATGTTACAACAGGATCCACTACCGTCGTATTATTCCGACGAATTTGACACTGTCGTAAATTACAGTGCTTAAAGACGTATTCCGCCATTCGACATCTTACGACCATTATTATCTCTCCGAAGGGAACGCGAGCGGCGGAGCGGAGATCGTGAAACCAACGGGATGAGAATAAGCACTTGTATATACGTATATATATATATATATATTCGACGATTGCACATCTCCCGCGCACTTTACAAACAAACTTGCACACCGGGAGCATACCGGTAACTGGCGCGCACCAGCGAACTCCGCTCGCAAACCTCGGCTTGCAAGATGCACGGCAGTTTAACTCCCTCGTTAAGGTGAGGTCAATAACGTTTTTACGGTAGACCGGACTCGCGGTAGGTGGAAGGTCGAACGAGTTCCGGACCAGTGCGTAAGTTTGAATGTGCCACCGCGACTCCGCGCGAGCGAAGGTGCCACAGCGTGGAAATTTGAAATTTAGATTAATGCTACGGAACGCGGAATCGTTAACGCTCGACGGAGAGCTGCCTTGCATTACCATATACACGCTGTCTCACGCATCCGGATATGTGTATCCACGATGCCTCGCGGACGAAAGCTCTGAGTCGCACGTATATTATTCACATGCGGTATTTACCCTTCTTGTTGGCTGAGTCGGCTCGCAGAAGCCGCGTGGCTTTCAATCGGCGTTGATTCTACCGGAAAGTAGACACCGCCGTCTACGCTTTCAATGGGCCTGTGATTCTGAATTGGACATATTCCCTCGCCTTTTGAGCGTAAGGAAGGAATGTTCCTAGATTAGTACGAATGAGATACGCGCATGAGCTGCATAATAAAATATGGTTATTTTACGGTGAGTGTTAATACTCGGATTTTCTTGACTCTGCGTAGAGAAATCTGAAGTGAATGATTTTAAATTGGTAAAATTAAATTGTAACGTTACATTTTTCAAAATAATATTTCAAAATTAATTCAAATTATCGAAAAAAATTCGATATTTTTCCATAACTGAGTTTTTCAGATTATTTTATTAAATATGCTTGTGTGATATCTGAATTAATGAATTTTTTTTCCCGCGTGAAATGTTAGCATCGCTGTTTTATTTAATTATGTCTCATATCACATCAATAATAAAACAATTTTGCTGTTATATTTTATCAAAAATATTATATAAATAAAAAAAGATTAAATAATTGAACATAATAATATATTAAGAAAGGAAATATAACGCTAAAAAATTACAAGTTGCGCCACGTTAATATAGTAGAAGCGCAGTCGACTGTAATTTGATTCTACTTACATCAAGTGCTAGGTTTTTAAGCTTTGATAAGAAAGACATTAAAGGGATTACTGGTTGGTCTTCCTGTACCATTATCTTATCTGTAATTGAACACGCCCATATTGTAGCCAGGCGCCTGTTTTCTTTCTGTCACTCAGATTTTTTTTTCCGGTTGAGACTTTAATTCTGTTCCAGTTGATTGTGATGTAAATTTTCGTATATACTGTAAGAAACAACACTATTCTCAAAAAATTATCTTTCAACGAATTCTCTGTAATTTGATAAATAATTGAACAACACAATCACTTAAGTAACTTAAACTAATTTGTCGATTTATAACGATTCATTGTCGATTATTGCGATTCATTAAATGAATGTAGATATTATCGTTCTTCTAAAGAACGCTTTGATAGACTAATGATCACGATAACAAAAAATGTAAAATTTATCTTTCAATTTTATGATTTTACAAGGTTTCTATTTTTTTCTTGCAAGGCTTCTATTATTTTTTCCAAAAAAATTGAGCGCAAAAGGAATACATTTCGTATACTACGCATAGATAATAAATTTTAAGTCGCTAAAGAATCACTAATAAAATCAATTCGGATGATTCTAATGAAATATTTCTCGTCAGCGTAATGCGCACCAAAAAATTCGTAAAATCTTATTTTACACAATCTATATATCTAATCCTTATGAACATGTACGAGAGAAACCGCTATCCTCGCAAGGTCCACAGTTCGAATTATAATACAGACTATTTTCCAACAAATCTGCCGTATTGTCCGCGTCGTCATTATTTACAGACGTCGTCGTTTACGCCGTTGACGTTGCATTTAAGTGCCAACGTCGCGTTCCGCATAACACGCTGACTAACGTCAACGAGTTTACGTCGGGCCGTTTTGCCGTGGTCTGTCTAAGTCCTGGATTACGAGCCCCGCGGCAGCAGCGTGAAAATGTTCGCGCAAAATGAGACAGGTCGCGCCCAAGCTCTAAAGCACAATCGCGTCTGGGCCGGGTGCCATAACACCCTGCCCCGGCTTTTGTGCGCGAGATCGACTAGCCGCCAGTTCGCAAGAATCCTCTCCCGTTCAGTGGACGGAAGTTTGAGACTGTTGAAAAATTTTATGCCCTCGTTTGTGCAGACGGCACTAAACTGCGGCTTGGCAAACGTATGGGCTTCCAACAGGAATTGAAAGCGATAAATTCTCAATGAATTCGGATCTTAACGCTGCAGACATGAAAATGATCTGAATGTCTATACGCGATAGCAAAAACGTGATTGGCATGAAGCGCGTACTTCCGCATTTACAACGTCGAAAATAAAATTTGAATCGAAAATAATACATCGCACATCCGAATTCATATTGAAAAGAGAGAGAGGGCCGATATAATTAAAAATGTTCAACCTACAATTACAGAATTTCTCCCCTGAAAATAATAATGTACACAATTATTTTTTTTCTACGGTATCTTCCTAATTAGTACACCTCCTCATTACTGTCACGCCCGCCTGTCTCTTTGCGGAATTGCGACCGTGCGAAATGGTTCTCGCAAATAAAATCCCTTCGTCAAACGCAAACCAGTCTCGTGCGTACGACTGACAAAACCACCCTTTCTTTGCGGTCGAAGTCGGTCTCCAGCGAAGTGTGACGTATAATGTGCCATCCCGGCCGACTTTTCTCGCGTGTATCCCGTTGCCGAGCCGCATTAATATCACTGTTAACGTCTACACGCGGACAGCTCTCCGCGCGACTGTTTCTCCGACTCTCCTCTCTCTTTCCCTCTCTCTCTCCCTCCCTCTCTCTCTCTTTTTCTTTCTTTCGTTGTTTTTTTCTTTTGCTACGAGTTACACCAAGTTCCCGTCGCCGTTTCTCACTTTTTTCAGCTTTCGCGGCGAACTGTCTCGTCTCACCTTCCTTCCCGTCGCTCATCCAACCTCCACCGTCGT